TGATCTGCTTGCTCGCCCACCGGGCTTGGCAGACCAGGACTTTGTCCCTCCCCGTACCTGGTTGATCTGCCTGAGTGTAGGCTGTCTGGACCCTCTGAGTCCCACCCAGTATTTTGTGGGTTTGTGATATTCTCCAGGTCCACAATAGACCCATCTTAGGAACACAGTCCCTCACTCCCAAGCCCAGTAGACAGGTTGTCTGGGGTCTCTGCGGTGCCCCAATACCCTAATTCCCCCCATTCAGTGCTGAAGGTACCAGAATCAGGATTTGCCTCTCTGACTACCCCCTTTTTTTACTGATTTCCTTCTGGGAGCAATTGCAGCATTTGGCTAGTTTCTTTGAGTGGTGTGGTGCGGTGTGCAAGAAGCAAATCTGCCCACCTGTGATTCCAGTCACCGTAAGTCAGTTTCTTGAGGGTATCCTTGGTAGTGCACACCATTCGTTCAGCCATACCGTTGGTGGAAGGGTGGAAAGGGGCCGAAGTCGCATGACGGATCATGTTGGCCTGCAGGAAAGCCTGGAACTCAAAAGAAGTGAATTGAGGACCGTTATCTGAAACCAGAACATCTGGAAGGCTGTGTGCTGCAAAAATTCCTCTCAACACCTGGATGGTCCTGGCAGTAGTAGTGGAGGAAACAAGAACAACTTCCAGCCACTTTGAATGGCTATCAACAAGGACCAAGAAGAATTGCCCCTGAAAGGGCCCAGCGTAATCTATATGCACTCTGGACCAAAGTGAATGTGTTTCCTCCCACCTATGCACAGGGGCCTGAGGCATTTCTGGCTGTGAGCACTGGCACAAGTGACATCCGTGTACCTGGGCCTCTATATCCTTGTCTAACCCAGGCCACCATAGATGGCTTCGCGCAAGCGCTTTCATCCTGACAATGCCAGGATGATCCTCATGGAGAGAGAACAAGATTCTTGGTCTCAGTGAGGTAGGAATAACTACTCTGCTGCCCCACAACAGGCAACCCTTAAAGGTGGATAACTCATGCTTCTTGAGCCAGAAGCTTTGGAACTCAGTACCTGGACTTCTCTCAGGCCATCCAGACAAAACCCATGAAAGCACACGTGTAAGAGTGAGGTCTGTGTCTGTTTCTGCAGCCACATTCCTGACATTTAGGGGAGATTCAGGCAACTCCTGAATGGAGAGAATATTGATGGCAGGAGCAGGATCTGTTTCTACCAGTTTCAGAGGTAGTCTGCTTAGGCCATCAGTGTGGCCCATTTCCTTACCAGGTTTGTGAATCAAAGAATAATCATATGCTGACAAAAAAAATAGACCACCTCAGCATTCTAGGAGAAATAACATGAGGGGTTTGTTTGTTAGTTGTAAACAACCCCAACAGGGGCTTATGGTCTGTGTAGACTGTGAAATGTCGGCCGTATAAAAAAACCATGGAATTTCTTAATTCCTGCTACTATGGCCAATGCTTCCCTATCTATTTGAGCGTAATTACACTCAGCAGAAGATAGAGTCCTGGAGTAATACGCTACAGGAACCTGAGTTCCATCAGCCCTCAAATGGCTAAGTACAGCTCCCACCCCATAAGGAGATGCATCACAAGCGATGCAGACAGGCAATTTTTTATTGAAATGTGCAAGCACATCACTGGACGTAAGCAAGGCCTTGACTTCACTGAAGCTCTTTTCGTGGACTTTGGACCACTGCCAAACTACCTGCTTGTCTAAAAGCCTATGCAGTGGTTCTGCCACAGCAGCTTTGTGAGGTAGGAAAGTATTGTAGAAATTCAAGAGACCTAGAAAAGCCTGCAGTTCACTTTTAGATTTGGGGCTAGGAGCCTGCAGTATAGCCTTCAATTTAGATGCAGCAGGGTGAATACCTTGGGTATCTATTCTGAATCCCAAGAAATCTGTAGAAGTGACTCCTATCTTACACTTGTCTTTTTTAAATTTTAGGCCTGCTCTTCGGAAATGAAGCAAAACAGCCCTCAATCTCTCTGCTAAATTCTGAGTGGATTCTCCAGCAATAAGGACATCATCAAAATAGGGGCAAACTCCAGGGATACCCCTAAGTGTATTCTCCATGACACTTTGGAATATTCCAGGGGCTATATTTACTCCAAATCTCTTGACCTTGAATGCACCCCTATGAGTTACAATAGTCTGTGCTTCAGCAGCTGCTTCATCAACAGGTAACTGTTGATATGCCTGTGCCAGATCGAGCTTTGCAAAAACTCGCCCCCTTTTGAGGGAGGCCAATATATGGCTGACTACAGGTACGGGGTACGCGTGCTGTTGCAGTGCCTTGTTTAGTGTGCACTTGTAGTCTGCACATATGCGTATGTCCCCATTAGCCTTGAGAGGCGTGACTATGGGGGCTTCCCATGGACTTGAATCTACAGGTTCTAAAATACCTTGCTGGATCAATTTATCCAACTCAGCATCAATTTTACCTTTTAGTACAAAAGGTACTCTCTTAGCTTTAACCCTAATGGGTGTGATGGTGGGGTCAAGTCTCAAAGAAACTGGAAGCCCCATGTAGGACCCAAGCTGTGGACTAAACACATCTGCAAACTCCTCACAAACTTCTGCTAGGCCCAACGTTTGCAAATTTTGCAGCCCAGTAACCTGGATTCCCAAGGCCTCAAACCAATCGAGTCCTATAAGATTCGTCCATTCACCCCCAACAACCAACACATCCAATGGACCTTCAAAATCCTTGTGCTGCACTATAAGGGTGGCCTCCCCCTTTACACACACCTTGGAATTTTGAAAATCTGTTAAGATTATGTTGGATGGCCTAAGTTTGGCCTGGAACCCACTGCTGTTGCAAATCTTCCTAAATGTATGAATGGAAATGATTGAAAGAGCAGACCCAGTGTCCAGCTCCATGGCCAAAGGAACCCCTTGCAACCTCACCTTGAGTGACAGCTTCTTTTTAAGTGGTTTGTGTGTACCTGTTCTGCAAATGCTTCTGTGCAATGCGCAGAAACCCACCCTATTTTGGCTGGGGACCCTGGTACCTTTCAGACGCAATTCTTTTTGAGATTGTGTCTTCTGACGACCCAGACAGACGGATGCTATGGGGCTTGTGTTCCACACGCTCTGCAGATGGCGGAACGGAACCTGCAGTCGACTCTCTTATGGCAACCTCCATACCTGAAGCATTTGGACGCAGCTGGAGCTTTTTCTTTGCTTTCCTTCTGTTTCCTTTCCGTGGACTGGCAAAGCTGATCCACCTCTTCTTCAGGATCTTCCTCCAATCCTTCTTGGGCTCCCTCATGGTGCACAGAAACTGCTTCTGGACTGTTCCTGATGGGCCGCATGTTCTTGACCGCCCCACCTGCTGCCTCTTCAGCCGTTACCTCTCTCAAAGCATCTTGGAGCGAAATATCTAATCCTAATTATTTCTAATAAAAATGGTAACTCTACCAAGTTGCATAGCAACCTTTGATAAACCATTGATTATGATTAAAACTGTTCAGGATGAGGTGGAACATAAATAGTGGTAGGAAGAAATCAGGTTTTTTTCCTTTCCCCCTCTTTATTTTCGTTTCCCAATTAACATCACAATTCTATAAGATTTGAACTGACTTGCCATTGTATTCATAATCTTATTTCTCCTTATATTGGTACATATAAGGTATTATGCTAGCAGTGTTTAATGTTTGTGTGAAGTGTAATACCAGCATAATTTCATTTCTCTATTTTAATTTATTAAGCTGGAATGGTGAAATTTAAGAGAATACCGTCCCTACCTAATGGTATCAATTTTAGGATATATACATTACAATAGTTTTTAAGAAGTGCTTAACTGAGTTTTAGTAACATTTGTTGAATCAACTAACAATGGTGCAATTCTATCCACATTTATTCATTTACCAGTTATGATGATCATGATCAGGTTCTGTGTTAAGCCTATTGGACTACAAGCGTTCTCCACAATTTTCAGACTACAGCTACAGTCTCCACATCCTTCCATTTAAGGTTGATGTTTTTCAGATCTTTCTGAAATGTTTGGCACCAGATTTTCTCTGACCTTCCTCTTTTTCTCTGACCATCTTATGGTATCCAATTGATTGCAGTCTTTGCTGGACATTGCTCACTTATATGGAACACACGTTCAGCAAAGCATATTCTACATTCTGTCACTATCTCAAGAAACTCTTTAGGAATTGCTTCTTTGTAGAATGTCCTTGTTTGTGATTTGGGCCCGATACGAGATATGAAAAATCTTTCTAAGACGACGTTGGAAGACATTGCTCTTATGAATTCTCCTTGTAGATTTCCAGGTCTCACTGGCATAGACGGCGGTATGACAATGGCATTAAATAATCTGATCTTAGTTGTTGTGTTTATAGTGGATGACCACATTTGTTGGGAGACAGATGTTTCTTTATCTATTCGGCATTTCACATTTGCTTCTTATTCCCCCATTTCTATCCATTATTCTACCAAGGTAATTAAATCGTTCCACAAATTTTAAGGTCTGCAATTTGTCTACTCAGGATGTTATTACATCCCATGTAGTTCACCCCATCTCAATGAGGAATGCAGTGAGATTTTGAGGGGGACAGTTATGATGCACTGTATGAATTTATTCAGGCTTGGAGATTGTCCTAAAGTCTGGATTATGGTATATTGAACTACCAGTAATTCAAATTGACTTTGAGTTTTTGCAATGCACTGCAAAGCTGTAAATCATGATTACTGGGGGTAGCTGCTGGATGGAAAATTCTGGGAATTGGAAAGTCTCCACACTTTCAAGTTGCCAGGGTTGAGAAACCCTGTTATAAATTATAGATTACTGCATGGACTATAATTGTTGGCTTCACAGTGCACCCTAATTTCAAATTATTATAGTTTATTATCTGAAGCATATTTCTTCCCAAGACTTGGTTTTAGGATTGCAGCCTTAATCCATTATTTCACTATCTGGATAGAGAGAAAAAAATGACAAATCTCTTCACTGTTGGACTGTGATGATGGAAGCTGTCGCCGATCTGCTATCCTGCATTCCTTATCCGAAAAACGGGAGGGAAAGCAAGACTCAACGTCGGGCAAAGAGAACGCAGCGAGGACTTCATTTTTCCTGCCGCGCACGCCCTAAACTGCTGCGCATGCTCCCATGGAGGAGACGCGCGTGTCGGCTGGCTCTAGCCTTACAACTCCGCTGTGAGAGCGAAGCGCCTTCTTGGGGGAAGGAGGCGGGGCGCTCAGATACAGAGAAGGCCAGGAGAGGGAGGGGGAGGAACGACGGCGTTTCCCCCCCCCCGCCCGCCAGAGGCTCGAAGGCGGGACCTGCGAGGGGCGGAGAGAACGCAGGCCCTTCCAGCGAGCGGGGCGAGCGTCCGGGCTAGGATGCTCTTGGTATCGCCCTGCGTGGGCAGCAGCTGCAGCAGTAGCAGAAGCCTTGCCAGGGACTAGCCCGTCGCTTCGATTCTGCCGCAGCCGCGCTAGCGCCCGACGTGCTACCCAAAACCAGCCAGCCAGCCAGCAGGGCTGCCTGGTTTTACTGGCCCTTCTTTTCCCGCCGTCTCTTCCTTTCCCTGCCCTGCCCGTGGCGGCTCGGGGGACTGACCCTCGCTGTCCTTTTTCTCCTCTTCCTCCTGAGTTGCTCCTCGGCGGCTCCCATGGCGGCCCCGGGTAATATCGTGTCCGTTATGGCGAGTAAGACCAAGACCAAGAAAAAACACTTCGTGGCCCAGAAAGTCAAGCTCTTCCGGGCCAGCGATCCGCTGCTCAGCGTCCTCATGTGGGGAGTGAACCATTCGGTAAGAGACGCCGCTGTCGCGCAGACGACTCGGGGGGCGGGGGGGCGGGAAAGACTCGCTTGGTTGTAGTTTCTCCTCCAGCCCAGCCCCCTCCTGGCGCACCGGGCTGCAGCCAGTCCATCAGCCCCGACTAGCTGGCGGCTGAGCACGATAGGAGCTATAGTACCGCGCCTGTGGAGTGTCAGGTCGGGAGAAGGATTACCTTCGATTTTGCAGATGTGTTGTCGTCTGCCTCAATTTCCCTTCTGGCATAAGGATGTGGGGGGGGGGGGGTTTGATGTACCTCTCATCTTCTAATCAACTGCTGCTGCCCTCTGACTGCAACTCCCTCCCCCCAATCTTGCAGAGCCATCTTGCTCTTTCACACCTCGGTAAATTAGACTAAGCTACAGGAATTCAGAAGTAGTGATGCTCCGTAACTGGATTAGTGTAGATGGTTGAAAGAGGATACAAAATTTCATTCCACGGAAAGAGATGCTCTTCTGCAGGAAAGATAGATAACCTCTTGGATCCACTAATGCAGTGCCATGTTTCCTTTGGGATGTCAACAGCTGTGGATGCACAGTTTCCCTTTGTTTTTCTGTTCTTATGTGTTGCTGCATCTTTGCAAAGACTTCAGTGGGTATAACACTCTCAGTATTTTGTTAAGATAAGTAATTCTGCTTCAAGCAAGAAGCTAAATACCAGCTACTAGAATATTTTCTTTAATGTTTGCCTATAAGCACCCAAAGGTGACTCTTCATGATGCTAGATAAACATTAGCCTGGTTGGAAAAATAACTATTTTTTATGCAATTTTCTGATGTCATATTCACCCAGAGAATACTGTGGTGCACACCCAGAGCACAGGTCACTGTATGTATATTTTATGACTGGTGATAGGCAGCAACATAATTGAGTATCTATTTGGCTAACGGTTTTGGTACCCTCCACGTTTGTATTTTCCATAGTATTGTTAAAAAGCAATCAATAAAACAGTGGAGAGGAAATGGGAAACAGGAAACTTTCTTCATTCTAATCCCCAGTACATTCAGTAGATCATGTAACAGAAAGCAGAGGAGTAAGCAATGGCTGGGATAAACTATAGTAAGGTAGCCATGGTAGAGAAGCTGTTGGCAGTGTGCTCCCTTGGGCTACTGCAGTGTCCTGTTTCTTGAGCTGGGAATAACAGTTCATTTAACTATGCAGTATTATGCTAGTCAGACCAGGAAGAAAAGAAATGTATAATATAGTTTGACAGAAGAGAAATACAATTGAAAATAACATGATTTTGATAATGATGAAACTCTTGTGATCTAAAACGTTAAGAATGAGAAAATGCTGATAGTATAGAAAATGGAGAAAATGTCTAATTGTATGAGAATTATATCCACCTGGTTAGAGGAAGTAACACTGCAGCTGTGTGTGTGTGTATCTGTGTGTGTGTGCATGTAGACCAAATGTGCGGAGTTTTGTTCAGAGTAGCAGCGAAGATTGATTCTAAAGATTATGGCGGGCTAGTTCTTGTAAACTTTTGAAATTTGCTTCCTCTTTAATTCAGCATAAGAATTAACATCTCATTAAAGAAAGAAAAAGCTGCTTAGAGCAATAGCTAATAGAGCAGAGGTCCCCAACCTTTTGGGCACCAGGGACCGGTTTTTCCACAGATCGGAGGGTGCATGCCTGCATCCCACAGATGGGGCTTTGCTTGTTTGTGTGGACTGGTTGCTGACATGCCGTGGCCTGGTGCTGGTCCACAGACCAGGACTGGGGACCCCTGTAATAGAGCTTGGTCATGTGCTTTTCCCCCCCTTAGTAATATTGTCTGATTCTAACATAATGAGAATTTGCTTTATTGCATATGGCCACATATATTAGCTGCCACATCTTCCAGCAGAAGCTATATTTGAGATTTGTGTGATGATTCTAAAATCTGGTTAATTCCGTCTTCTTTTTCCTAGAAAGCTGGTCCCATGCCGTGCTGTAAATAAATTCATTGAATGCTTATGTAGAAAACACTCTGGTATGATTAACTTTCATACAAAAGTCCTGTTCTTAACTGTAGCAAAATGGCAACTTTCATATATAGTTATGACTTCGTAGACTCTAGGCCAGGGGTAGGCAACCTGGGCTCTTTTATGACTCGTGGACTTCAACTCCCAGAATTCCTGACCCAGCCATGCTGGCTCAGGAATTCTGGAAGTTGAAGTTCATGAGTCATAAAAGAGCCAAGGTTGCCTACCCCTGCTCTATGCCATTGTTTCTCAACCCTGGCCCTTTCAAGAGATGTGGACCTCAACTCCCAGAAGTCCCCATCCAATGTGGCTGGTTGGAGAATTTTGGGACTTAAGTCCATACCTCATACAAAGGCCAATGTTAAGAAACATTGCTGAAGGGTCAACTGCTACTTTGATAACCAACTATTGGTTTTGTGACTAATCTGACAATGCTATACTTAAAATACAATGGATGATCTGCCTTGTGCAGAGATGAATGTGTATGTGCATATAGTTACTCATACCATACATGAATATGGAGGTTTGAGGAAGTTAGCTAATTCAGCCTCCGATTCTAAAGTAGACATTTTCTTACTTTCTTTTTGAAATACAGATAGAGAATTTATAGAAATAAAGAGTAGGATAACAATTAGCATTTCATTGTATAAGCAGAGCTTTATTTCCCCCCCCCAAAGTTATATGAATATTAATTTGTATTGTACTTTGCTAAAAGCTCTAACAAGATTTTACTTTTGTATGAAAAAAGGAGGAAATGTGCATGAAAAATCTTTCTGTTTATTCTATATTTGTTATATCTTCAAGAGAAGAGAGCAGATCTGGGGCTGGTTTCTGATAATTGATTGTATAAATAGATGTCTGTAATAGTAATGTCATAAGTTGCTTATAATGTACTAACATTAATAATGTTCTATAAGTTAGAAGTTGTTACAGTAGATTATCATGCTGTAGGATATGGGTGAATTAAAATTTTAAAATGAGATTTCCAACAAGTTAATATAGTGCTGAGAAACATGGTACATCTGGGAAAAACATATTTTATACAGCATCTTCAGTTTTGAATTTAACTGTAAAAAGAAACTCAACTCATAATTCAGAAAACAGCTTTAAAACATATTTATTATTTGTTGAGTTGTAAAAACGTAACTATAAAGGTAAACCTTGAAAGATACATTTTTCTGATTTCATTATCAATAATTACCTTTAATGAGAAAAAAAGGTGTGAGAGTTAAAATTTCATTTTAATTCAGCTGTTCAAAGTAGTGTATTCATTTGGCAAATAATTATTTTCTCAACAATTCTACATTTTCAGACAACAGCTCCTCTAGCCCACTGGAATTGATAGGAGCCAAAGCCTAAACATTTTGCATATTTGATTACAGAGTTGTGCAAATGTTATGATAGTGTTTTGTCTTTTTTGTTCAGTGTATTACCCTTTTTTTTACATTGCTGCTTTGTACAATACTGAATTCTATTTTTTGCTGTGCCACCAATAGTTCTGGCAGCACAAACATATTATAGATTTTTCAACCCTATTTATCACTTCATACCTTCTCATGCTGGAATGCCCGTCTTAATCACCAGTTATTTTGTGTTATCCTAAATATTTCATCTCTGTCAAATCATTTGCATCTCACTCAAATAAACAAATGAAAAAGCAAATGTGAAGTATTTGGGATTCCCCCTCCATTACAGTATGAGAACTGACCACTTGTAGTTACTTTCTACTTATCTTTTAGAGGACTTATCCTTTTAGTGTGGAATTATAAAATATATTCATGTGTCTTTGATGAGAGATTTTTGTTGGAGCTCTTAGATATTTGTTGGCAAGAAGCGAATTTGCTGACAACTCTAAACGTGACTTCTACAAAATCAAGCCAACAATTGTTTGGTGTTCATAAATTAGCTTATGGATAATTAGGTGTATATATATCTGCTCCCCCATGTTTTATCTGTGAGGATTCACGTCAAGTAGGACACATAATGCATTAAGTATTTAAATGTCAATTATAGGTATATCATTCTATGCAATTTGGATTTGGTGTCTGAATTCTCCTAAAGTATTGAATACAGGAAAAAATGTTATTATGTCAGTGATTGAAAACTGAATATTGACCGTGGGTGTTGGCTAAAAAAAGCAAGTAAATTATTTACTTAAAAAATAACAGTACATTTTCTGCTGATTTCCTGCATCTTCAATATCTACTCATGGCAATTTGAGATAAAGTAACATAATACAGTCCAGTATAAAATTACAGTTACAAAATCTACAACAGCTGCTGAGCTAACATAAGTAAACACACAGTATCCTAAAGTAATTAATACTGACTCATTCAATGGCTATCTGAATGTCTCTGAGTTTTTAAAATACAGATTAGCTTTTGTGTGTACATACTTTATTAGATTGCTCTACTTGTCAAGAAAATTACTATCACATTTGGGCTGGAAAAAAAAAATTCAGTGAAGCATCATGTGACAAACAGTTCTTAACTGCCATCTAGTGGCCATCTGGACTTTTGCATGTTAGATCCAGTAGCCCTAATACCAGTAAGTAAAAATGTTTCCTCAAGCTAAATTTTAAAAATTTAAATGTGGATTCATTTAAAAAAAATCAAAATAAGTGGTAAAGATTCTTCTGAATATATTAGGACTAGATCTTTAAAGGAAGCCCAAAAGAGTACTCAATATTCTGCCACGAAATTCAAACATATTTTTATGGTTCTGGAGTCAATTATTAATAAAATAAGAATTCAGGTTAAGCAGTCTGATTTTGTAGTTGATAGTATAGCTTGGATTAATAGTTTATACTAAATATTTTCCATAATTAGTGCAGTTACATGACATCATATATAAGCATCTCAATAGGTCATCTCAATGTTCTAAATCCTTTTTATAAATAATTTTATTGAAATTTTTAGTTATGTAGAATATAAACCAGAGTCACAAGCAGGAGAGGTTCATTCCCAAGGAGCAAAGAAACAACATAGCTTGGAACCTTTGATATGCA